AGCCAGCCATGCTGGCTGGGGAATTCTGAGAGTTGAAGTCCACTCATCTTAAAGTGGCCAAATTTGGACAACACTGGTCTATATGAAGTGCAGAATCGACTGAGAGCTACATTGGGTGATACTATGTTAGGCAGAGATGTTAATTTGGGTATTTTATTGGGTTGGTGTGTTTCTAAAAGGCTCAGGCGGCTGTGATAACTCATTCTGCTTGGCTAGTTGCAAATTATAAATGTTATTCTTTGTGTTAGCCCACTGCAAACTGTAAGAAGTGCCTTGTATTCTCTTCTGTCTCCTAATCCAGTTTCTCCACCTAACATAAGTGGACACAATGGTGGATTACTATGAAGCACTGGGGGTGCCCCACAACGCCTCTCCGGATGACATAAAAAAGGCGTGAGTTGCATTCTTTCTATTTCTACCAGAGGCCATCCACACAAGTGCCAAGATAACACTTTTCATAACGTTGTGCCTGGTGACTGAGTCTGTTCCAGCATGGCCTTGATAAAATCTGATCACAAAGGCACAAGATAGCCAAACAGTAGATTATACCTTGTGTCAGCTATGAGGTTCACGCTGGAATCATAGCAGTGTGATGCTCTTAGATGGCATCCATTGATCTCCCAAATTACATTGCTGCTGTTGTTATATTAAAACTTCCCCATACCTGTGAGATTGCCAAATTTTGTAAAATCTCTGTGTTCCTACATGAGATTTCATGAAACCTTAGCTTTTAGATTTATGTATATACATTTATTCCCAACACATACACACACATGTACACACACGTAACCTTTTTAAAAAATGGCATAGTGATGCTGTGCAAAATCTTCACTCAGAAAGGTGGCTGACCTCTGCACTAGATTAGTAGACTGTGGGAAGCTAACCAGAATGAAAAGGGTTGGGAGGACCCTGGGAGGTTCCAGGGCCAGTAAAGAGAGATTCTGCCAATGAATGCCAGTGAACAGAGGAACTGTGCTGTGTTAGTTGCAATGCTAGAGTGTAACAAAAGCCTCTCTGGTTAGAAGGACAGATCTAACTGTTTCTCTTGGTACAGGTTGAAGGGTTCCTAAAGCAGCGCTAACAGGTTGGAGGTATCCCACCAACTGTTAAAGTAGATTATCAGATGAGCAAATAACCAGGCTGCTTGCCTATCCCCTGTATAGCCCTGTTCACCACAACCTTTGAGAAATGATGAGCAGCTCCTTCCCTCTCCTGGCTGCACAAGTGGTTGAAGTGAAGGCTGGTAGCAGGGTTATTTACAGAGATAATCCTTTGGATACATGCACATGCTTTTACATGGAAGTGATTGTGTGTAGAGCTAGGATGCCTACTGCAGAGAATTGTGATGTAAGGCTGGAGACCGGCTCTATGCTTATAGCACTGGGGCAACTAGGAAAGGGATAGGGAGAGGCTGCTCACTCTTGCTTGGATGTTGAATTGAACATATGAGTGGGTACCTGAATAGGACATATGAGAAGCCTTGATGGAGAACTGTGGCCCTTCAGCTGTTTCTGGACTGAGGTTTCTATGATCTCTGTCCTTGACCATATTATCAAGTGGATCCACTGGGAATTGGAGTCTTAATAGCATTTAGAGATTCATAGCTTCCCATCTCTGCCACAGAAGAGCTTTTATGAATCATCTCCGGAAGTGCTGTATTTAAGCAGTGGAAGGGGATGTAAATGGGAGTTTATTATCAAAGACTGGCAATGGAGTGTTAACTTTTTGTTCTCTTATGGAATGAAGTAACCTCTAATGAAAGACAATAGTGTAGTGATGGAGAGTTGGGCTGTTTGGACACCTCCCTCAGAAGAAAGGGTCCAAAGATGCTTCCAGACAGAAGTCTTCTGGCACTACCAATCAAAAGGCCCTGTGGAGCCATCTACTTCCTGAGTTTTTTGTGTCAAGAAAAGAGATGAAAGCAGCCATGGTAAAACTTGGGAGAGTTACAGACAGAAGACCGTTTTGATTTGACCCATTCTCAGCCTCAATAAAATGGCAGGTTTGAAGCAGAGCAGTTGCACAATATAAGCTTCAAACAAGCAAGGATCGGCTCATTCCACCTAAAGGGAATGTCATTCTCATACAAGTTGAATGCCCATGACTGCTAGCAGGAAGAAGTCACAGAGAGCTGCAGCTGGGATGGGATGATTTTCAAGCCATTTTGAGTCTCATGGAATGGGATCCCTCACAAGTATATACTACCCTCTGTCTTGTTATCAACAGGTACAGAAAGAAAGCCCTGCAATGGCACCCGGATAAAAACCCAGATAACAAGGAATATGCTGAGCAGAAGTTTAAGGAGATAGCAGAGGCCTATGAAGTGCTATCTGACAGTAAGCCAATGCTTTTTGCTCTCTTCCCTCATTCCTCAGCCATGTTGACTGCTTTGGTCCATCCAAGATATGTGGGACCATTTCTGCAGCATAAGGAGATCTTAATTTTAATTTTATCAGTGAAAAACAAGTTAGAAGTTAATAGAGCTTGTTCCCACATCTGGTTTGGGGACTCCCATTATTAAATGAAAGAAACAAGTGTGTGGAGATTTTGAAGGAGAAAAATTCCCCATGACTCAATTTACTAGTGGAGACATCGCAATCTGCTTGAGCCAAGTTTATTTGAACAGTGTTAGGGATAGACCACAAGGTTCTGCCCACTGAAGGAGGGCACAAACAACCTTTATATAGTCGTATAAAAGATGCTGGCCAGTAATGATGTCAATGGGTTAGATTTTCCGCTTATTGTGAGATAAGTAGAATAATAAAGTGGAGGTCGGCGCTAGTCAGTGTTTGTGGTTAGTTACTTCCTAGTTCCTGTTTAAAAATACAAATGCTGATTTAAGATAACGTGAGCCAGCATTTGCAAATGCCTAAGCAAGCTATTAAGGAGGCTTACTTGAGTTCAGGGACCTTGGTAGTTTGGAGGTCTTGGTCCAGGTATTTGTTTTACTCCTCCAGTTTTAAGTGTGCTCATACTCTAGAAGACCTTTGACTTTGGGCAACGTGACTGAACAAACGTGGGCTTTTTTTAATGGAATGCTTTTACATTTAAAGCTCCATCTGACCAACTTCTCTCGGTTTCACTTCTTGTCTGCACTATGGTTCTAACTATGCTGGCTTTTTCCAGGGTTTGATGTAAGCAGTAAGGTAGCATAAATTCTCTTAGCACTATGTGAAAAGACCATAATTACTTAAGACAACTCGGCTTCCTACTATTTCTTGAATGAATATCTTGGCTTTGGCAAGAGCTCAGCCAAGTTTAATCTCAGTAATATTCCTTGAGTTGAAAGTGATATGTTTGACCAGTGCTCATGTTAAGGGAAGAGACCCTTGTCCCAGCCCCACACCCTTCTACAGGAGTGATTGTTAACTCAACTGCTTTCTTCTTTCAGAGAGCAAGCGTGAAGTCTACGACCGATATGGCAAAGAAGGGCTCATGGGTGCAGGTAAGGACTGGGGTTTTGTTGGACTAAGACGAATGCAGTCTGGGTGCTTCAATCCCTGGTTGATTAAATAATAATAATAATAATCTGTACTGCCAAGAAGGTTAGAGATTGATGGGATGAGAGTTCAGCTAAAGTCGAAGTAAGAAAATTGTGCGCCTCTAGTGATTTGCAAAATCTTTCAAGTCCAGAATGTTTGGAACTCAAAACATCCTGTTTTAAGTTTGAAATGGGTTGTTTGGAGCTTATTGAAGGTGTCCAAATGCTGTTCTGACCATTCCGGAATGGCTGTTTTCTCCAAACGTATGCATACCCAGACAGTACACGTATGGCAAACAGTTATTCATGTGCACTCGTGGAGGCAACCGGGGAAAACCTTCAAAGCAGCTGCACTGAGCCTTCTGGTGGACGCAGATGCTCTAGCACTTCAAGGAAGAATCTTCATTTGTACAGCTATGTTTGCAAAAGCACGCCTTTCAAATGTCTTGCGTAGTTGTTCTACATGGACCTAGCGGGTTGGAGAACAATTTTCTCAAGCTGTGCCTGAGTCTGAGCCTTGGGAGCGTAATATGACAGAGATCTTGTTTGGCTGCTGGGACAAAACCAAAGCAGTTTGGTTGGCTTTGGAAAGTTTGGCTAACTAAAATCTCATTGTGCCCAAGTGGTTGCTGTGGGTTATTAGCTCTCCATTTTGTGTAAAATGGATTTGTCCAACACTAGGTTTTTGCCTTGCTCTTGGCCTACCAGCTACAGGTCACTGTTTTTACAAGCTATTTACCTGGGCCTACAAAAATGGCAGGCTGCAATCCACTGCTGGTAAACGTGTGGGCCATGGTGTAATGATCCTAGTTTTCTGATACTTCAGCATCTCTGCCTTGGTAAATATTACAGCTTTGTCATCATCTTTCTTTGCTTTTTAAACAGACGTTAATACTGTTTTCCACTTTCATTTTTCCCAGCTGGTTCCGGTGGTTCCAGGGCTCATCCAGGACCAGAATTCACTTTCACTTTCCGGAGCGCCCACGATGTCTTCCGGGAGTTCTTTGGAGGGCGAGATCCATTTGCTGACTTTTTTGGTAAGTGCTATTTGTAATTTTCAAGCTAGTATTGAATGAGAGAGAAAAAGCCTCCTATTTAATTTTCTCTTGACTACATGGCTGAGAGGACAAGAAGCCAGTTCTGAAAGAAGACAAGGGATTATAGCAAGAAAAGAAAAAGAAATTGACTGGATTACACCAAGAGCATTGAGAATACTTTTCTTGTTTCCTTCCTGGATCACTATTATATAGGTTACTTTTTCCTATAGCATGGAGGAATTCTCTCACTCACCTCAGCTCTCATAAAGCAGAGGGCTGAGCAGTTAATTCCAGGAAACAGAGGGTAGAGTTATGTATAGGTTGAGGAGGCTGCTCTGTTGTGGAATATCCTGGGAGCTATGGATGAGTCCACCTCTTTGTTTCATTCCAGATGATCCATTTGCAGACTTACGTGGATCTGGACCCCGGCATCCTGCAGCAGGGCCTTTCTTCTCCTCTTTTCCTGCATCATCGGGTAAGAAAGAACAGCTGGAATAGTTTCTTTCCCCTTCTCATCTCACTGGGTTCTCCAGTTGTCACTTAATGGCTCTAAGCCCCATTTGTCTCTGTAATAGCCCCAGCCTTCCTGTTTGCCTACCCTGGAATCTCAAAAGAAACCTTTGTGTATCATGTACCCAGAGTACTGGCTGGAGTGCTCTGTTTTCCCTGGTCCCAGTGACAGCTGTATCATCCCTTGCACGTTACTCTGGCGCTCTCTCTTGTAGAGTTCTTCTCTTCTTCGCTCGGACCGGGGCTTAATGCTGGAATGGGCTTCCGCTCTGTCTCCACTTCTACAAGGTTCATCAATGGCAAGCGCATCACTACCAAGAGGTAAGTTTAACTTGCCATGTATGTATGTGTGTATGTATGTATGTGTGTACGTGTCACACTGGTGGGCCACCCACTCTGGACAGTGAATCTCATCGTGTCCTAGAGTTTGTGGATGTTTTAATCTGGTTTGCTCTTTGTCTACCTTTCTGCCATCTTCTGATCTTGTAGGACAGATTTGGGGTCCTCTTCAAGGATGTTCAGGCCCATTGCTCCCATTATGTTCCCGGAGCCTAGCCATCTCTGCTTCATTTCTACTGTTTTGTATCTGTTTATCTGTTTTCTTTTTATAGAGTCTCACATTACATAACTCATCCTTTTTTCATAGTGGAGACTTACTGCTCATCCAGTATAGAAAATTAAACCTAAATTGTTGGGGGCCCAAACAAAACAAGCCACATTACGTTCACCCATTCTGCTAAGATGTAATGTGGCTTGTTTTGTTTGGGCCCCCAACAATTTAGGTTTAGGGTGCTATACTGGCCTATGACCATAATAAAGATTTGATTTGATTTGATTTGATTTGATTTGATAGACTTAGGGTACTTTGTGCATAATAGTTTACATTGTAAGTCATTAAATAAACCCTGACTTAGTGCAGTTGTGGAATCAGGTCATATTGTACATGTTTTTATTGACTTGGACCAATACTGTTGGATACTGGGATATACAGTAGCTGTATTTCAGAGATGGTGTGTGACACTTGCCTTGATCAAGAGCTGCCTGCAAATATCTTACTCTTTTACTGTCTCATGGCCTTTGTGTTCAAACATTTCAATATTTTGGAATTTAAAACATTATGGAGTGGAAGGAAAGGGGAGACAAGCAAAACAATGGGGACCTGAATTGTGCATAGCTTCTTTCTTACGTGCCTCAATTTATATGTAATGTATACTTAGAGGTGTGCAGCATTCAAATCCAAAATGACAAAAGTACTTGGATGTGGTGTGGGCCCACTCCTGTCTCGTTAGTTGCTCCATAAAAGAGCCATGCTGAAAATGCAGCTGCATGGGCTCAGGAAGAAATACATTTGAGTTGAGGCACTTGCCCTGTTTTAGATCTTAGTACTCCCATGTCTCTAATACAAGTGTGAAGTATTATGACTTTTTCCACATTGTGCCTGGGAATACCATTCTGTATTGGGCTGCAATTGCTCTTGAAAAAATTATGTTTACAATTTGGGTGTGCTCCTGGATGCTGACATGACAACTGGGACCAGGAAGGCTTTTACTCAGCCCAGCTTTTCTCTTTAAAAACAACTGCATGGTCTCATTATATCAGAGGGCAGAAGGTAGGATTACAAATGATTACAAGGCATTCTAAGCTTCTGAGTAAGTTTTTCAGTTAAGACAATTGACCCTATTAGCCAGCTTTACAAGGCAAAGAAGAAAACATTTTCCAATGCTGTACAGTTTTGACCTCGGTCACATTTTTAACCAGCAATTAGGAGGCAATTAGGAGTTTTTGAATCTTGTAGGGTTTCAGTGGTGTGTTGTGCCACTGGTGTTACAAGTTCAAAGTTGCTTCTCTAATTTGAGCAGACAGGGAGGAGTAATCTCCTTGGGCGATTGTATCTCAAGATCTGTTTCCCAGGTCTGCTGTTGTGTGTTTAATTTTTGTGTTGGATAGATTGTATGTTTTTTCTGTGTAAGTTGCTGAGAGTCCATTTGATTGCGGCAGCACAGAGATATGGTTTATTTAACTTTATTACTAAAGTTTATTCATTAAAAGTGAAGTTACTTAATGAAGACAGCACATCAACCATTTTGCACCATGTTGAGTTTATTTGTTTATTACATAGACCCAACATGGTTCAGAGCAGGTTGATGTGCTGTCTTCATTAAGTAACTTCACTTTATAGCCTCTCCCCTATTTTCTAGGATCATTGAAAATGGACAAGAGAGGATAGAAGTGGAAGAAGATGGGGAGCTGAAATCCATCCAGATTAATGGTGAGTAGCTATAAAGGAAGAGAGCTCTGAGTATCTTAAGAATATGGAACCGCAGAATATTTCTGGCCTCCAGGGGCTACAGGAGATTGATTGATTTAAACAATTTATATGGCTACCCATTTCATAGCAGTGACTCTGGGTGGCATACAAAGTTAAAACAAAGTGATCCCAATAATAAATGTCTGAGGTTGCAAACAACAGTTCCAACTTACAGTAAAACAACATCAACCAGCAGAGCAAACTTAACCTCCTGGCCCAAATGCCTGGGGGAACAGCCAAGTCTTTAATGCGGTGTTTCTCAACCTTGGGAACTTTAAGACTTGTGGAATTCAACTCCCAGAATTCCCCAGCCAGCATGGTTGAAGTCCACACGTCTTAAAGTTCCCAAGGTTGAGAAACACTGCTTTAATGCCTTAGGAAAGGCTAACAGGGTTGTAGCTGATGACACGATACCACCAAAATGAGCAGGACTGGAATTGTCCTTTGGGGTAATTGTATGGGGCAAAAGGCTTCATGTTAATAAAAGTTTTATTAAGCTTTATGTTAATGTGCCTGTTTTGCCCCTTATTTTAGCCTCCCCCTTCCCCCCAAATCAGTATTTTTGCCTCTGAATCTGGAGGTGTGCTCTACTGGAGCTCTGGGGAGCGCAGCACAGGTGCTGGGGAAACTCCCTGGTTAGCTACGCATGTAGCAGCAGCAGCTTCTGCCGTTTCTGATTCTGCAGATCATAGAATTCAAGCCTGCCTCTTGCCCAAATCTGGGGCCTTTCTGACAGATTGGATGTCAGCTTCCATATCCTCACATAGCTATACTTGCTGGGGAATTTCAGGCATTGTAATCCAGCAAAGATTTCCTGGGCTTCTGGGCAATGCTGTGTCAAGGTGGGCACGTTCATGTCGTCATATACGGAGGGAAGGGGATCCTGGAAGGTGGCTTCCCCAACTGTTGACTGAAACACCTCCCTTGCAGGGATTCCAGACGACTTGGCACTAGGCTTGGAGCTGAGCCGGCGTGAGCAGCAAGCGCTACAGAACCGCACATCATCGGCATCTCCTCCAGTGACGCCACCTCAACACCCACCGCCCAAGCGCCCATCCCCGAGTTCCTCCCCTGTGATCTTGTACACAGACAGTGACGAGGAGGATGAAGATCTGCAGCTGGCTATGGCCTACAGCCTGTCTGAGATGGAGGCCAAGGGCCAGCACAGAGCAGGTGCGAGAAGCCCCACAAAAAAGCAATCCAAAGGAAAATCACAGTTGCCACAAGGGAGTCCTGTCACGGACAGCCAGGCGGGTGGCCCATCCAAAAGCCCTGCAGGGTCTGTGGGAGGGGATGGACGGGGAAGGGGCAAAACCAGAGACCCTTCACCTAAGAAGAAGAAGGACACGCAGTGCCACCTCCTGTGAGCCCATCAAGACTGCATTTCATTGGCTGGTACGCTCAGGACCTTGGCCAATGGAGGTGCGGGTGGGTTCGTGAGGATGGCTCTGATTTGTTGCTAACAGGATAGCCTGCAGACCCATCCAGTCACAGAGCTGGTACCGCTGAGTAAAGGGCAGGAGCAGATTCTGTAACTTGGTATGTGTAATTTGGCACCGAGGGGGATTGTCCAGGCAGCTCCTGGACTATAGAGCCCTGGTTCCTTGTGCAGATTCAGGTTGCACCCTCTGCTTTGCTGTTTTATCGCATGGCTTAACTGCATGGTCTAATTGCGTGGCCCTGCTGTTCTGCTGTACCACAGAGATTTGTCCTGGGGCGTTGTTATTGGCTGCTGCTGCTTGATTACTGGTATAGTTGATTCCTGGGCAACGTGGGAAGAGAATGTGGTGTTTCTGCCCCAGGGTTTTGTAAATTTGGTGGGAGTGACCCAGTTGGGGTCCATCCTAAATGAGGATTCTAGGGCATACTTAGGGGTTGGGGATTTTTTCTGCCACCTTCTCCTCACCCCTACTATCAATACTGTGCCTTCCTTAACTAACAACTGTGTGGTTGTGTTTGCACAAAATGCTTAACCAGGTCTGTTAAGGACCTAGTGGCTGCAGTAGCACATGGCAGACTTGATTAGTTCTAATTGTAGTTTCTTCAGTGCGTCATGTGCGAACCCAGCCCATTTCACTAGTTCATTGCGTGAATCCTGAAAATGGATTAAGTTTGTCATCATGTTAAGTGTGTTGTGCAGACAGAATTGTAAAGTACAGTATACAGGAGGTAGAAACTCAACAGAAGTTTGCTTCAAAGGCCATCAAGGATGTTATAAAATCAGAGCAAGCATTCTCTGCATGTTCTCTGCAGTCTCCCCATAGCCCAGTTTGTGCATATTTCTGCCTTGGACAACCAGAAGGTGTGGTGCTGGTGGGAGCCAAGGCAAGAAATTTGTCATGCAGATCCATTCAGGTTGCTGGTATCTCCCACTGCAGTTCACAGTCCCGTCTCTTCTTATTTGAACATGGGACAAGGAATCACAGAACCTTCACTGCTTGTGTGACCTTTCTCCTCAAATTGTAGTCTTCAAATCAAACCAGTAGTTGAGGAGGCTGTATTTCTTTTCTTTTATTGGCATGACATTTTCTCCTGCAGACACCAGTCAGTCACTGCTCTCTCTAACTCTGCTTGTACCCCAACTTGTACTCTAGCCTCCCATCTCCTCCTCCTCCCCATCATCTGTTGCATAAGGGTGCGGTGAGGACATGGGATCTGGTGGGTTTGCAGTCCTTTGCCTTTCTCTCTCCTTTTGTCTACCCTTGGTGGCAGGCCCTGGAAAAGGCTTCGGTGGATGCTTGATGTAGGAATGTAACTTGTTGGTGCCCTCTTTCTTTCTCTGCTGCTGCCGTCGCCGCTTGTCTGCTCACCTGCCCATCCCTCCCTTCTGTGCTTCCCATGCCACAGACCCTGAAGGACAGGCATATTCTGTCTGACACCCCTCCATGCTGCCTCCCTGCAGGTAACCCTCAAATGTTCATTTTACCTGATCAGTTGAAACAGCAGGGCTGTGTATATTTCTAATACCCTTGGCTTTGACCATGCACATAGGCCATGTGATCCTCTTCTCTCAAACATTTAAAGAAAATTTCAGGTTGCAGGACCTCTATGAACTTTCCTTCCATTCTTTTTTCACTTACCCCTGTTTATGATTTTAAAACCTGATTTTGAAAAATGCCTTGTAGAGGAAAGGAAAAAAAATACAAAAAGAACATTTGCAGAGTCATTTATTTGTATTATTCTGGTTGCAGATATTTGCTTGGGGAAAATATAAGAATATACACAACCCTGGTCTTTTTGATTTATGGGACTCAGCCTTGCTTGCCTCTGTGCAACTACCCTATGCATGTGTTCCCCTCTTCTTCGCTGTCACTCTGACAAAGAGGCAAGAGGTTGGGGGAGGATGACAGAGGGAGAACAAATGTTTATATTGGCCAGGGCTATCCTTTGCTATGTTAGGCCAGTTCACACAACCCAGACAATATGAAGGCAAGACTAGAATATATGTTTATGGCAAAATAAATATTTCATTAAATGTTTCTGATATACTCAGGGATGCACAGAAAGTAAATCAGGATCTAGCGAGTGATGTTAAGACATCTGCTGTAAATTGGGAAAGATTTCTGACCCTCTTCCAAAATAGCAACAAGAATGGCTCTTTTATTAAATGATATAGCTAAGATGAAAAACAAAAAAGCTTGAGGTCAGTAGTGAGTAAACAGGAGGGTGTGTGTAAACAAACTGTGAGCTCTGCAAAGGCAGATAAATATGGGTGGGTGGAGTGAGCCTGTTTCATTGGCACGCTCATTACAAGGCTCTATGCCACAAATGCAGCTCCAACCAGCATTCTTATTTCTATTTGTTGGGTAAATTGCATCTACAATTTCACTCATTTGGAGAACGCCAGTTGCAAGAATTGGAGGCCTTGCTGTCTTCCTCCCACTCCCATTGTAACAGAATCTTGGTAGAGCACTATTATAATCAATAATAGACAAGGATTAGTAGGAAGAGGTGGGAATGTTATTTACCACGAATAGCTCATTAATACGAGCTCTTCTGGTGTACACGTTCCCTGTTCTGCATGCTCCGGTGCACTCCTTCCTTGCCACACACAGGTTGAAGCACAGTGGTTCTTGCATGATGTTACGGGTTTGCAACAGCTGTCTTGATGCTAAAGTATCTGCCTCCCCTTCTTTGGGGAATACGTCACAGCTCAGGCACTGCTTGCTGCCCCCCACTTTTCACTGTTGTCTAATTCACGCGGTGTCTGTATTTTTCTCCACCCCTTCCCCCTATTCTGTCTCCGTGCTTGTCTCCCCAGGTGTGTTCTGATCTGGAAGAGCCATGGGGATTGCCTCTCCAGCATTCGTGCTCGATGAAGGCTGCTCAAGCCTGGACCTCACTTTCTGTTCTCTCCCTGAACCTGTGGGGGGGACCAGCAGGTGCTGAGTGTGTGTTTTTTCTCCCTTCTTTCTGCTGCGTAGCATGTAGCGCTCACTGGCTCGTGAGGCTCAGGCAGGCTACAGCCTCTTTGTTGTAGAAGTAGCTATCCTGCTGTTCCAGAGTTAACACTAGAGCCAAGGCCTTTTACACTTGTTAACCCCCTTCGTTGGTGCTCACTGCCCTCTTAAGAGAGCCTGGCTAAAGAGTGGGGTAGTCTTGTCTGTCAAGAGAGGTAGTGGTTGGTGGGTCAAGAAAGCCAGAAGCTCCTGGGCGGCATAGGCTGCAGCATCCTCTTTAACTGGCCAGGGACATATTGGTCTCAAGAAAAATACCATTTGCGTTTGGAGAGTTGTATCAATGGGAACAAAGGAGGAAAGTTTTGTTCAAGAGCCAGGGCAGACTCCCTTGTTGTGCAAAAGGCAGCCTTGGCACCTTCCCCATCCTGCAGTCATGTACAGCTGGGCTGAACTCCCAGAATTCCTAGCCAGCATGATGGCCGCTGTGAGAGAATTGGGAGAGTTGCAGTCCCAGCACGTGCGCAAGACTGCTCTAGAGCCAGGGGATGGGCATCAGTTTCTCCCCTAGAGCAGCAGGGACTCTTCCAGACCAGTCACTGCAGAGAGAGTAAGTCAGACTCTCTTGGTA